CATCCATCCCAGTATGCACTGTTTTGGTGTTTAAAAGTGAGCCAGGAGGTCCAGCCACACTCACGGAGGACAAGGGTGTGGATGTCAAAACAGCAGGAATCTACACTGGGGACCCTCTTAGGTATTACCACATCCTGCCTAACACAGATCCTTGATTTTATAAGGAAGAAAGATAGTCAACAGCTGGAAGATTCTTTGTACTACTTCCTAAGATTTATTTTTACAGAGGTAGGGGAAGTTTGGGGTGGGTATTGTTAGGGTGCAGTGCCCTTGAGCAGAGGGAGAGGGTACAGACACTAGCTGCTGGGTTCATCAGGTGGACTCTGAATACCTGAAGATACTGAAGGCTTGAATAGCGGTGTAGAGTAGGAGTCAGACACTGTTTATCTTCAGCATTTGAATGCTCTGATTTAGGACTGTATGAAATACCTCTTCTGTTCCTATTAAAGAAATTAGTGCAGTTTGAGAACTAGTGCATTTCAAGTGATGCTCAATTTATAGGCAGGAAATAGTTACTATTCTATATCATTCTGTATCATTTGTTTTATTTTTTTTTCCATTTATTTTTATTAGTTGGAGGCTAATCACTTTACATCATTGCAGTGGTTTTTGTCATACATTGAAATGAATTAGCCATGGATTTACATGTATTCCCCATCCCGTTCCCCCCTCCCACCTCCCTCTCCACCCGATCCCTCTGGGTCTTCCCAGTGCACCAGGCCCGAGCACTTGTCTCATGCACCCTATATCATTTGTTTTATGAATTCTCAGCATAGCAACATTTTGTATACTGTCATATTTTGTCCTATAGAGTATGTAGCAAAGGACTATAGATATCAACTGAAAATAATTTCACTCAACAAACATAATGGGTAAGAATCTAGGTAACAACTTGGAGAATTTAGTCTCAAATCTCTCTCTTCATTCCAGCTTCACTCCCCTGTAGTTCAGGCCCCCAGTGTATTCATTCAGAACCATAGCAAACTTAACTTCTAACTAAACTCTTCCCTCTAGGCTGATTTGAAAGGAATGAATTCTTCTCAGAGTCATTCTCAGCCTTATTAAATCGTGTTCTGTACTTCTTTTTAAAAATCATCTTTGAGGTTTAAATAGCATATGACAAAACAGACATAATTTAAGTGTGCAGCATTTGAGTTTTGACAGTACATGGTGTAACCCCCGTGATCAGTATGCTGGAGTGTGTTTTCATCCTCCCCAAAATCTTCCCAGTCAGGTCTCAGCCCTCCACCCCTAGCCTTGGGCACCTGTTGTTTAATAGATGTAACTCCATGGCTGGTTCATGTCAATGTATGACAAAACCCACTACAATGTTGTGAAGTAATTAGCCTCCAACTAATAAAAATAAATGGAAAAAAAATAGATGATATCTATCTTTCCTAGTGTTTCATGTAAGTGAAATCATACTGTATGCAGTTTTTTGTGCCAGTCTTTTTCATTTAGCATGAAATTTACCCATGTTATTGCATATATTAGTTGTCTTTCATTGGGGAAGGACTGATGTGAAGCTGAAGGTCCACTACTTTGGCTATCTGATGCGAAGTGCCAACTCATTGGAAAAGCCCCTGATGCTGGGAAAGATTGAGGGCAAAAGGAGAAGTGGATGGCAGAGGATGAGGTGGTTGGATGGCGTCACCGACTCCATGGACATGAATTTGAGCAAGCTCTGAGAGCTGGTGGAGGAAAGGGAAGCCTACCGTGCTGTTGTCCGCAGGGTTGCAAAGTCAGACACGACTTAGTGATGAACAACAGGTTGTCTTTCTCTTTTATTACTGAGTAGTATTTCATTGTATGGATATGTAGGTTTTATCCATTTACCTGTTGATAGTCATTTGGATTGTTTATACTTTTGGGCTTTTCTCAGGGTCTGCAGACTTGAGTGACCATCCATCCATTTTTATAAAAGCAGTTTGTTTTATTGGAAGGCAGCTCTGCCTATTCCTTTCATGTTTGTGGCTGTGATGGCAGAGATGAGTAGTTATGACAGGCCAGCCACGTGGTCCTCAAAGCCTTACTTGTTACTGGCGGACGTTTAAGTTAAAATGATCAACCCTGCTGTTGCATACAGATAAAACTGCCATAAACATGTACAGGTATTTCCGTGGGCATCAAACATTTTTCTCTCAGTTCTTAGAACTGGAATTGCTGGACTATATAGTAGATATGGGCTTACCAGGTGGTGCTAGTGGTAAAGGATCTGCCTGCCAGTGCAAGAGACGCAAGAGACTCGAGTTCAAAAAAAAACCAAAAAGAGACTCGAGTTCAATCCCTGGGTCAGGAAGATCGCCTGGAGGAGGGCATGGCAACCCCCTCTTGCCTAGAGAATCCTATGGACAGGGGAGCCTGGAGAACTACAATCCATAGGGTTGCAAAGAATCTGACGTGACAGAAACAGCACACACATGCACAGCAGATGTATGTTTTAAGTAAATAAGAAATTGAATTTTTAAAAAACTTATTGAAAAGAATGAAGTCATGTGGGAGGTGTAATGTTTAAGTATGTATAATAAAAAAATTACCTTATCTGAAGTGATAATGCCATTTTATTTTTTTCACCACTGGTGGATAAGAGCTGGGCTTCCCAGGTGGTGCTAGTAGTAATCTGCCTGCCAGTGCAGGAGACACAAGAGTTGCTGGTTCAGCCTCTGGGTCTGGACGATTGTCTGGAGGAGGAAGTGGCAACCCACTCCAGAATTCTTGCCTGGGAAATCCCATGGGCAGAGGAGCCTGGCTGGCTACAGTCCACGCGGTTGCAAAGAGTTGGACACGACTGAAGGGACTTAGCCTCTGTTTCCTCTCAGGCATGTGTTGTCATTTTTAAAACAGATTTGAGCCAATCTAGTTGGTGTACAGTAATGTCTCAGTGTGGTTTTAATTTGTATTTCTTTATGACTTAATTATATATTTTTATGTGTTTATTATTTGCTTTTATGTCTCTGATTTGATGAAAAATCTGTTAAAATCTTTTCCCTTTTGATTTTGAGTTGTTTGTCCATTGTTAAGTAGTAAAAACTTTTTATATATTCTTAATGCAAGTCTTGTATGTTATTTATATTGTGAATATTTTCTCCCATTCTGTGGCTGAAATATTTTTGTTAAAAAGGCTTCATTTTATTTCTCTGGTTTTCTAGTTGTTTACAGTGGGAGGGTAAATCTGATCTGCTTTGTTAGTGCAGGGACAGTGGATTTTTTTTCCTTCATTGCTGTATCCCTAGTTGATAGCATTAAACACTGAAAAAAAGCTAGTGAAAGGTTATTGCTGAGCCATTAAAGACGCTGGGATTCTTGTCCTCCAGAGGAGAGGAATTCACCCTGGGGCCAGTGACAAGGCTTGATCGCTCAGAGCTTTTCTGTATTAAAGTTTTATTAAAGTATAAAAGAGATAGAGAAAGCTTCTGACATACACATCAGAAGGGTGCAGAAAGAGTCCCCCCCCCCCCCCCCCCCCCCCCGCTAGTCTTTAGAAGTGAGTTATATATACCTAGTAGCAGGCAGCTAATTAGAGGAAAGAAATGTCTCAAAACTGAGAGAGTGGCACCAGGCCCCTCACCCACAACATGTATTTTGAGATGACATTGCCACAAGGTGAGTCATCCCAGGCCATAACATGATTGCCATGAATCTTGAAGAAAGGCAGGTTTCCAAGCAAATTTGTAGTCTCATTAACATAGCTTAAGAGAACATTTGCCAGAGTAAAACATACTGGTTTGTCAAGTCCGTTCTGAGTCTTAGTTGGAACCGACTTGAAGAAAGACAGAGTCTAAGGTAAATCCATTGTTCATTAACATAACTTAAGAAAAACATTTCTGTGAGAAAAACACATTGGTTAGCTTAAGGGCTGAGAAAAGTTCAGGTGGAACCAGGTGTCATCATGGCAACACAATTTTAAAGGAAACCTCCTTTTAATTTTGTATAGAGAAGGAAAAAAAATCTGACAATTTTAGTCTGTTTCCTCCTGACAGAGAGAGAGAAAAAACTTGTGATGATTGCAGCCTATTGCCTCTATTTGGAGATCCCTAGCCTTCCTGCCCGGAGAAGGCAATAGTACCCCACTGCAGTACTCTCACCTGGAAAATCCCATGGACGGAGGAGCTGGGTAGGCTGCAGTCCATGGGGTCGCTAAGAGTTGGACACGACTGAGCGACTTCACTTTCACTTTTCACTTTCATGCATTGGAGAAGGAAATGGCAACCCACTCCAGTGTTCTTGCCTGGAGAATCCCAGGGACGGGGGATCCTGGTGGGCTGCTGTCTATGGGGTCGCACAGAGTTGGACACGACTGAAGCGACGCAGCAGCAGCAGCCTTCCTGCCTGTTACCCTCTCACTAGCGTCCCTCTTTGCTGAATGGAAAAGAGTTTTTTCTTTTCTTTTCTTGTCCTCCTCTGGGATCTTAGTTCCCAGACCAGAGAGAAACCCATGCCCCCTGCAATGGAAGCTCAGACATAACCACTGGACTGCCAGGGAAGTCCCTGGATGGATTAGAATTCAAACTAGCAACAGTGGGAGGCTCATGATCATGTAGGCCATTTTCTGAGAGTAAATGAGTTCTTTTTCTTTGTTATCATTTGTATCAAATTTATGAAAAGTAAACATTTTGTTTGATTCCTGTTGAAGTTGAAAAGATGACAGTGATGCATTTTGGTCTTGATGGCAGCAGTTTTCTAGAAGGTCCTCGTTACTCTTCTGTGCACAAGCATTATGCATATTACAAAATTCAGACAAGCTTTCCTTTGTGTTTTCAAGACCAGTTTTATAGGTATCCTTTAGTCACTGCAGAGCAGAAAAAAATTTCTAGTAACATTTTGTTTCAGTGATTTAAAAGAGAAGCATGGTGTCAGTGTTTCTTCTTTAAGACAATTAATTTCATATGCATAAAAGTGATCTTTGAATTAAGGTTCTTTGGGTAGTTTTTGTTGTTTTTTTCAGATTTTTAAAACTTGTTTTGCAAGTTTTCTAACACACATGCACTTTTTCTCCCGAGATTGAAGAATGAAAGGGCATTGCGTCTCAGCCTTATTGGTAAGTGGATTTACTTGTTTGAAGTTCTTACCTTACTTATTTTCTCTTGACTCTCTTAGTGAAATACTGTTTTTATCTCTACCAGATAAAAGTGATTTTGTCAGATTAAGTGATTTTTTTCTACCAGACTTGATTAAAATAAAGTCAGTCATTAAACTGTTAGAACAGTGTTAATATCTTGCTCAGGTTTTTAGAAATTGTTTAGTATCTACCTTTATCCATCCCTCTCTCTCTCCAGTTTAATTCTAGCTTCCTAATGATTAGAATTATGAAGGGTTTTGGAAACAGGAATTCATGTTTAATGATGTGAATATATCCTCAGTCTATATCTCAGTGTCACAGTCCTTTTATGTGTGTGTGTGGATGTGTGATCAGATTTATTATTGGTAAGGTTATCTGATAAGTCTGAGATTTCAAAAGAGTAGCTACTAGGCTTTATAACTAAAATGAAAGATATTCAAACCATTCACTCTACTGCCTTATCAGACAGCAGAATTGTATTTGTAAATGGTTTATCAGTAATCCTGGGTAGGGCCATTTCTTGATTTATAATACTGAGAAATCTTACTGAAAGTGGCACCGCTATGGTCAGATCGACTCATAAGCACGAAGTCTGCTAGCTCTTTGATAGTACATGTCAGTTATTCTGTGTAGTATACGGCAGATCTTGTACGCTTAGTGTATTTACTGACTTTGAGGCCCTGAACAGGTTACTTAACCTTTCTCTTCTAAATGGAGATAATAATAATAATCCTCATAGGATTGTAAAAGTCAAGACCTGTGCCTGGACATAGTGCCTGCTGCTCTTTAAAAGTTCAGCACAAACCATGCTCTTCATTAACCTAATCAAACTCTCCTTTTGTTATTTCAGACAAGTTCTGTCCTTCGCTTTATAAATACTTGGAACTTCATGTTCTTTTAGTGTATTCTTTCTTTTAAAAAATGTTTTGTATCCTTACTGGATAACAAATACGTACAGAAAAGCATCCTTCCTACCTTTGTCTCTTCCCCAAATTAAAATGTGACAGTTCAGTTTCTGACAGGCTGGTTTAGTTAGCTTTGAGCCCACACAAAACTTTATATTTCACTTTGAAATAAATGTTGATACTGTTTTAAACACATTGATGTTGAAAATTATAATGAATACCTCTGCTTAAATGATGACTTATGGTGTTAAACTGTTTTGGTACTTGTTGTTATAGGTGAAAAACTGCAGTGGTTTCAAACTCACCTTGATCCCAAAAAAGTAGGATATTCAAAAAGAGATGCTTGTGAATTAATTGAAAGGTAAACACTGGGCACGTTAATGAGCAAAGGGTCAGTAAGAAGAATTCCCCAACTTGGTTCTGCAAGATGCAGAGTTCTGTTCTGGATTTATAGACAAGCAGATAGACTCTGTTATAAAGACTTTGGATTTGTATACTAGCTTAGTCATTTTAGTAGGCTCATCACCTTTCTGAGCCTCAGAATGGCAGGTAACCCAGTTTCTTGACTTCCTTGAGAAATGACATCAGAACTCACATCTGAAGATGGAGGTTAGCAGATGGAGGTGAGGTAGTTTGAAGAGTGTCTAGGCAGAGAGAACAAGGATCTGAAAGACCTGGGGATGGGAGCAGCATATTTAGTGATCTGCCAGGCATTTACTATCACTGAGATAATAGGTTCTGGGAGGGAATTGTGACAGTTTGAATAAACAACCAACACATAAAGATCTCAGATGTCATTGTAAGAGTTTGAACTTTACCCAAGGACAGTGGGAGTCATAGGAGACTTTGAATAGCAAGTAGCTGCGATGCTCACATTGAAACTTTTGAGAGTGAGGAAAGTGGACGAGGGGGCAGACTATTCAGAGGCTGATGCAAGAGGTGGTGGTGGGAGCAGTGTGGTAAAGAGAAATGGAAATGTCTAGAGAGTTGAAGGGGGGGTAAAAGGCTTGAATGTGGTGTAAAGGGGAGAGAGAGGAGGCAGGGCGATCCAGTCTTCATCTGCGTGAATGAGGGCGGGGCCAGGGCAGAGGTGGGGCAGGTTCGGAGGGGACCAGGGGCAGGGCAGAGGGCGCGTTAAGGTGTCACCTGTTAAGCCGGATGGAGATATCCAGGAGGTAGTGGGGTGTGAGGACCTGGAGTTTAATAGACATTGTAATGCAGGCTTTGATTTGTTCACAGAAGTTTTGAAAGTGGTTGCGTTATCAAGAGAAAGTCTGAGGTCTGAGAACTTGAAGGAGTCTAGAGGAAAATGAAAACTTGAGAAGGACAGGCAGTGGCTGGGGATTATGTTTTAAATGAAGTAATATACGCCAAACAGACATTGTAAGTCAGACCATCTTGTTTTTCAGGTATTTGAATCGATTCAGCAGCGAGCTGGAGCAGATTGAGTTGCGAAACAGCTTCAAGGACAGGCAGGGCCGGAGGCACTGCTCTCGGGAGGCGGCCATCAGGCAGACCCTGGAGCGGGAGCGGCGGCAGTACCAGGCCCACGGCCTCGGTGAGTCCCGTGCTGCTTCCTGCTGTCTTGTCACTGTAACTTGTCCTGTTTATTTAGTTTACTTCGATTTTCCTTTTCTTTCTTTTTGTATATTTGGAATTTTTTAATTCTTTCTTTTTTTCTCCTACATTCCCAAAACTGTCAATTTTGACAGTGATATTTTTCTACTGTGATAGTAATGTTTTCCTCTCCCTTCAGGCATGTGCTTAACCTGCTCTGGTCTAGGGTTATTCCTTGCCTGTCTCCAGTCACATTAAAGAGCTATACTTGTTGCAGCCATTCTTGAGAAATTACAGAAATCAAATTTTCTTTCTTAGCAGTGTAGCATTTCTTGCAGTTCCTGAAGACACGTGTGTGTCTGTCTAGCAGCGCTGTCTGAAGAAGAGTGCGCAGGAGGAGAGGAGCGGGCGCTTGCAGGGCTCGCAAAGCCCACCAGCAGCGGACAGCCCAAAGGCTGCTCACGGCCTGCAAGCAGCGTTCGATTGGCATAGGAATTGTCAGTATAGAAAGATCTGCTCAGTTCACATGGAAAACGTAGATTTCCGGATGCCCGTTAAACATACGGTCTGACAGCATTGTCTGCTAGAGCAGAACAGCAGCCATCACTTTCAGACTTAGCATTCCGTGGTCCTGGACCTTCCTTCATTTGCGTTCCCTGCCTGGTCCCTGTAGGCACTCAGGTGTGGATTGGCTTGGAGAGTACAGTAAACGAAGTGTTTAATAGGAAAATGAGGTTTTTTAGCTGTAATAACAGTAGGGGCCTGAGGTGTTATCCTGCTGCCTCCTGCTGTGTAGGTCCCAGCCCTGGCAATACCAACACTCGATCCAGGAGAGGCTGGGGTGGCCCCCGCAGGCATTTTCCCCTCAGGCCAGACCTCCCTGGTGGTTTCTTACTATGACTGCAGGGTGCACTTCAGCAGCACCCAGCAGGGAGCCTTGAAAAACACAAAATTTAGCGCTTGCAGGTCCTGGAGGTACCCTGAGGGGCACACGGTGAGGCTCCAGTAGAGAAAGAGGGGGCACGCAGGGGCCGGGGGTCCTGCCATTGTAAGGGTCACAGGTGGAGTGCCCAGGGTTTCAGGGGCTCCCTCTTTATGAAGATGCCAGAAAGGAGAATGGATTCCCTCCAGTGATCAGTTAAGCGGTGTTCTGATTGGGTGGGGCAGTTGTTTTCTGCAGCTGTGTCAGAAGCTGGCAGTGGGTTCATTGAGTTGGGTGTCTTCGCAGTCAGAAGGTTCACTTCAGGCACTTATACCTTCAGTAACACTAGGAACCCTGAGTAGATGGCGGTTCCTCTTCAGCATTCCTAAGAAATGAGTTTTTTTTACTGGAAAAAAAAAGAGAAAAAACAAACAAAACAGAATAGCTTTAGAACAGGTTAGATCTGTACTGAGACCCTTGCAGCTTACTGTATAACAGGACAAGTTACTTCTTACCCACTCCCCAGCCTTGTTACCTTCCATTTAAAAATAGAGATGGATCGTACACCTCCCCTTCCCAGGTCGTTTAAAAGTTAAACGAGATTGCATGTGACATGTAGGGATTGAGGGAAAGCTTCAACCACTCCTGTGTCCTTTCACTTAAATTTGTCTGTGCTTATAGTCTCCATTTCTTCATCTTCCATTTTCTTTGGAAGCCCTTAAATTAGGCTTTTGTAGCCACCACTCACAGTCCTCATCGCTGATGAACTGTTTAAGTTGCTAAGACAGGTGGTAGCTGTACTGGGTACCGACTCTCCTAGTCAACTTCTGTGCATCCTTTGCTACAGATGATCCCTTCGTTTTTTGTCACACTTTTTATTTGGTGTAGTAGCCGCTGTCCTTCCCCGGTTTTTCTCCTAGTTCACTGGCCATAATGTCAGTTTCCTAAGTTAACTCCTTTTCATAGCCTCACAAACTAAATAATTGGCCCAGATGTCTGTCCTTGGGCCTCTTGTCTTTCCAGTTTATACCAGGTCCTGCATTTATCTCATTTAATCCTGTGCTTTTAAATACCATCTAAATGTCATGACTTCCAAATTTATGTTGTCAATCCTAACTTGTCCCTAGAACTCCAGACTCAAACTTGAGTTTCTTAAAATCTCTGCTTGAATGTCTTCTAGACAGCTCCAGTTTGGCATGTCCCAAAGCAAAGCCCAGCTTTTCTCCTAAAACTGGCTCCTTCTGTGCAGTCCGTGTTTCGGTCAGGGACATCACCACTCGCCCACCATCCTGCAGACATTTCAGGCCCCACATCTGGCTCATCAGCCAGATGCACTTGGCATCTGAGGACTTGCGCTGCAGTCTGCTGCCCGCGCTCAAGCCGCCCGGATCTCAGCTCTGCCCTTGCGCTGGCCTCCCCAGGGGGCTCTGTGCTCAGTCTCGACCTGAAGCCGCCAGGCTGAGCAGCAGTCACGGACAGCACATCCCAGGTCAGGCATCCTACTGGTGGTGAAGCCAGTGCTAAATCTCAGACTTTGTGTTCTGGTTATGCCTCAGCCCAGGGAATGTGGTGACACAAGTCTACAGGCATCTAGAAACATGGGCAAATAGTCAGAGATGCTGTCAGTAAGATTCAGTGAAGACTACGTACTAACATCTCTCCGTCTTGCCCCTGTTTGGTATAGCCATTCCTCACTCACATTCTTATTTTCTGAAGCTGTTGTAAAGGTCAAACATTTTTGTTGCAGATTCATTTCATTTTATAGATTCTATTTTAGAATACATTATTTAATAGTGTTGGGTTTTTTTAATCACCTTCTTATTAAAATAAGTCCTTTATACTTTCGAAACTTCTTTTCATTGTAGCTTTGTAATCATGCTTTGAAAGTTTGTTTTGCTTTGGGCATTCTTCTGTCTGTCAGTTATTTCTTTTTCTTCCTGAGATAATAAAGGAAGAAACTATAAATACTGTAATAGAAGACTTTACCTAATGAATATATTTTCTTTTCCAGAGATTCCAGACATTTTAAATGCAGATAATCTGAAAACTTTTAGGTGAGTTTGTTGCATTTTTTTTCTTTAAAGCTGCATGTAAAATACATGATAGATAAACTTTCTTCCCTTTTGAGTATTCAGGGGTTCTTTTTAACCTCTCTTTCATCAGATAAGTAAGAATTTTCCTAAGTTGCATTTGTTAGAAATGCCTGAAATGATAGTGTCCTAGTGCTTTTGTTTTACAAAATACTTCAAAATTCTTCAATATAGTATTTAAAAGAACATGATGTCACTGTTCCTCTCTGTTATGTAAAAAAAAAAAAAAAGAAAAAAAACTGTCAGCAGCAGACTTGATGGCTCAGAGACCCATTCCCAGACTGTTTGCAGCACCTCCTTCTGGAGAAGTTGGTTGGTGTGAAGGGAATCATGAAGAACCAGGTGACCCAGTATTCTCTCTAATAGTACTCTGTGACCAGAAAGACCAGTGAGTAGGATTTCCAGTTTTTAGTTTTCAAACATAAATTATTTTTCTTTAGAACATAAGTTTTATTAATCACTTTGACCTTAGGTAGGTCCTGTTGATCAGCCTGAAATTTTAACTGAAATTAGATAAATTAAGTCCATATTATTTAAAACCTTTAAGTTTATTTTATATTATTATACTTCTGAATTTGTAGAAAATATTTAATATTCATAAAAATCTCAGCTCATAAAATTTACCAGTCGTATTTAAGAAGTGGTTCACTTTTTAACTCATTTACATGTAGTTATAATGTAAGTACATGCAGCTTAAGATTTTTTCAGATGTTAATGTTTTTGCCTGCAATATTAAGTAGTCAGATATATAAGTATTCCCTTTATTCAGTAAACCGGTATAGATTCTGCCTCCTCCAAAGAAAGCCAAAAATGAGAAGAAATTAGCATAGACTGTTAGTATTTTTATCTAGCTAGAGTTCAGTTCTCAAAACAGTCTTCATTTTGTTCCCAAAGTAAGTGAACATAGGATTGTTACAGAAATGCTGAGGTTGAAACACTGGAAGTTTTCTGTTACCAGAATTGTTTGGTTGCTGAAACTTAATCGTGACTTACCATTGTGTGTGAAGAGAAAAACCTTTTCTGACTCTGCATTTTGGAGATTTTCCAGTGTGGTATAGTTCCTGCTTTTGAGATTTCTTGACACTGTATGTCCTGATAGTGGGAAGTGTTCAGGTTAAGAATCATAAAAGAAAGGAACAGCCTCCTTGTAACTTCTACCTAATGTTTTCCTGCATTGTTTTGAAAATCTTGAATATGTGCAATTCCCTGGGCAGTTAACTGCTATTATGGCTCATATGGTAAAGAATCTGCTTTCAGTGCTGGAGACCTGGGTTCGATCCCTGGGTCAGGAAGATCCCCCTGGAGAAGGGAATGGCAACCCACTCCAGTGTTCTTGCCTGGGAAATCCCATGGACAGAGGAGCTTAGCGGGCTACAGTCCATGGGGTCGCAAAGAGTCAGACGTGAGTGAGCAACTGTAACATACTATAGATGAGGGAGAGAGTACGCTAAGTGTGGAAAATGCAAACCTTAGTTTTGGGGACTTTTTTTTTTTCCTGGTGCATTTATATTGTTTCCGTCTAGCACATTTGAGTCTGCTGTAAATTTATAAACTTTTTTCTGCATAGTTTTGAATATTGACTTCATTCCCCACCTCACCAACTTTCTGCATTCTCTCTTTTGTCTAGAGAATGGGATTTTGATCTGAAGAAATTGCCAAACATTAAAATGAGAAAAGTCTGTGCTAGCGATGCGGTGCCCAAGAAGTGTAAGAAGAAAGCTGTGACAGCTGTAGACAGAGATTTAGGGGAATTGGAACTGAAAGATGAGTCAAGTGACACAGACGAGGAAATGACTGCGGTGGCCTAAGTGTCTTTGCTTGAGTGGAAAATAAATAATTTGAGAACTTCCAGGTTATACTTGAATTGATTATGGTAAATAATTGTCTCAACACGAATTTGCTGTTTTACCTTACTCTTATATTTTCAGTTTCAAAAACAGTGTGGCAATTTTTACTTTAAAAGGAATGTTGCTTTTCATTTACATTAAGCATGTTTACTTAGAATCACCTTTGAATCACGTATCACATTTTGGGTCATAGGCAGTAGCTATTTTGCTAGAAGGTTAATGTGGGTACTTCTTGAGTAAGCAGTGATGACAGCAAAACTGCCTTTTAGCAGTGTTTTTCACTGCTCTTCCTCTTACACATCAAACCTGTTTTCTTTCCTTAGAAAATAGGGAAAATGTGATACAGAATTTATATACGCTTATGGATTGTACATTGCTGTTATTTATTATCTTCGACCCAGAGTTAGGTAAGTGGTTAAAGAAGAATCACCAACATATTCTTCTGTGGATCTCCTGTTATCAACCTGTTATCTGGATAAAGGGGATAAATGATTTCAGGTTGGCTAGGTTTGTTTTTATATTATTTTTTACTTTCTCATTGTGAAAAGTATTAGATTTTACTTGTGGAAACAGAACTAAAGATTAGAGAACTAGTTATTTCAATTGTCTTAATTCTTCTTCTGAGAGATAGGTTAAACTGACATGTAACAGTGTTTCCAACATCATGAAAAACATGAATGTGGTAGAATGTTCTTAACAGAACTTGTTAAATGCAAGTTTCTTCTGGCCTGTTTCCTAAAGAGTGCAGTGAAAGTGCATTTTCAAGGGAAAAAAAAAATTCTGTCTGAGGTAACCAGGTATCAACTGTCTTGTTAACAGCTTTTTTACTTCAGAAGATTAAAAATAAAACTTATTTCCATAGTTTTACTTAAGGTTCTTATTATTTAATGTTTAGTGATTTAACTAATGCTGACTTGCTTTGGCTTTAAGTAATCCACGCAGAAGTATGGTTTTATGGTTATATAGTAAGTTCTTATCTCTTTGGTCATTGGAAAATTTCCTTCTTGGGGGAAGGGAATTCATTTTTGTTTCAAAACGACTATAAAAACTGAGTCATAAATTACAGTAAAGAGAATAAAAACTGCTTTATCCAGTCTGGTATTTAAAAAGCATTACTGTTAGATGAATAACTTGTGAAAATGGCAGAACATTCTCCTCCAAGATTTATTTCTAGTTTTCCCTGTGCTATCAAAGCAGAAAATATAACAGGCTGTACTGCTTGGAACCAGAACAGATAAATGCTTGTTGAATGAATTTAGGACTGTAATTGTCATGTCACTCCTGGCTAGACCAGAGTAACTTAAGAGATCATTTGTCTTTAGAGTGATCCTCTTAAATGGCCCCCTTACCCGTTGTCTGTGGAACATGTTCTCTCTGCAGTGATGCTTGTCCCACCCCTTCTCTGTCAGTAGGAAACCTCTGAGAGAGAGCTTCTCTCGTCCGCAGCCCTGGAGCCAAGTGAGAGGAGCACTTGGTTGGCAGTTCTTTGTAAACTCGTGGGGGACAGATAATAAAATGGCAGATGGTAAATATTTTAGATATTGCAGGCCAAATGTAATGTCTGTTGCGTATTCTTATATACGTATGTGTGTTTTACCACCCTTTAAAAATGTGAAACCTCATCATGGCCATACCCAGATAGGCTATAGGCTAGGTTTGACCTGCTTGCCAGAGTTTGCCAATCCCTGGTCTAAATCAGCAAGCTGAAGTCCACGGACTTGGGCTTAGGATACATTTCTAAACTCAGCCACTCACTGCTATCTGTAGCCGCTATTCCTAATACCTAGCCACTTCCTTGCCTTGCAGGCATTGGTCTCTTTCTGGGATTCTGTTCACCTTAAATAGTGTTTTCTGCTCCTGTAATCCTTATGCTTCAGGACAGAAGATTCAGTAAGTGTCCTCTTTGGCATGTTTATTTGATAGGGTGTGATTTTATTCTTGACCCCTTTTTTAGAAGATTTATTTTTAAAAAAATAACTTTAGGTTCACATTAAAATCAAGAGGAAAGTAAAGAGATTTCCCATATACTCCCTAGCCCCACATGCATAGCCTCCTGCTTACCAATATCCACCACCAGATGGTACACGTGTTATAACTGCTGAACCTACATTGACATCCAGCATGTTTGGAAGGAAAGTCACGTTCTGTACCACGGCCAGACTGAACAACCACCATGGTCAGAGAGGCCTGAGGTGCTCTGATTGCTGACGTCCTCTCCACACGCCCCGGGCTGGCCTCGTTTCAGACACACTGTTTGCCTGTCCTGCCCCAGGGTGGTCAAGCCCCGACCCAGGTGGGGACAGCTTGGTGCTGGCCCCCTGAAGAGCGTGTGTGTCCTCTGAGGCCAGGCTGGGCCGCGGCATTCCTGAGCCTCAGAAGAGTGCCCTGTGGTCTTCCTGGAGCAGGAAGACGCGGGGTGCTGTGCGGAGCTCCCACAGGGCACTGCGTGTTTGCCTCCCTGTTTTCCGGGGGAATAAGTGGACAGCTCGTCACCGCCCGCAGGCTCTGATACAGGGTGAGGCTTCCCCCTCAGCCCGCCGTGCTGCGGGCTCTGATACAGTGTGGGGCTTCCCCCTCAGCCCGCTGTAGCTGCGGGCTCTGATACAGGGTGAGGCTTCCCCCTCAGCCCGCTGTGGCTGCGGGCTCTGATACAGGGTGGGGCTTCCCCCTCAGCCCGCCGTGCTGCGGGCTCTGATACAGGGTGGGGCTTCCCCCTCAGCCCGCTGTGGCTGCAGGCTCTGATACAGTGAGGCTTCCCCCTCAGCCCGCTGTGCTGCGGGCTCTGATACAGGGTGGGGCTTCCCCCTCAGCCCGCTGTGCTGCGGGCTCTGATACAGTGAGGCTTCCCCCTCAGCCCGCTGTGCTGCGGGCTCTGATACAGTGAGGCTTCCCCCTCAGCCCGCTGTGCTGCGGGCTCTGACACAGGGTGAGGCTTCCCCCTCGGCCCGCGGTGCTGCGGGCTCTGATACAGGGTGAGGCTTCCCCCTCGGCCCGCGGTGCTGCGGGCTGCGGAAGGGCCTCGCTGCACTGTGGTCCCGGTTGCTCAGCCGCAGGGCGCCCCCACCTCGCGCAGCGTCACTGCTCACGTGCCCCTTTCTTCCCACGCCTTCCCTCTGTGGCGGGGCTCCCGAGGAGCTGGCGCCTCCTCCTCCATCCTTGTGTGCCTCTGTACGGAGTGAGCTGAGACTCCAGCGCAGACTGTTTCCCCCCTGGCTGGGTCTTGCTGATGTGCCTTGTTCAGGACTCTGCTTCCTGCCCTGCCACTTCCCTGGGTTAAGGAGTCTACCCCACCCTTGGTGTCTCTGTCACAGCTCCCGGGTTTGGTCACTGGCTAAACACACAGTGACAATGATCTATGATCTAGGTTTGTTTGTTGTAGTTTGGGAGGCTGAGAAGACACATGCACATGTTCCGTTTGGACAGAAGAATGAACACATCCAATTAGACCCTGAATTCAGGCTTCAAAGCTGGGGCTTCAGTTGGGGTGTTTTCTTCACTGATCACTAACCCACTTAGGTTTGAATTAGATTCCCTCTTTTAGTTTTTATTACCTCTGGGTAGGAAAATACTGTTACATTCTTTTGTATATCCAAGCCTTATTCATCAGAGAATCTTTTTCTGGATTGCATTCTGATTTTTCTTAATTTTTTTTTTCTTTAAAACAGAGTTTGAAAGTCTGTGTAGATTATTTTCATTGATTTTCCCTTGTTAACGCACCTATTTAATCCTTCCTGAAATGCCATGTGTTAATCAACCTATGCTGGCCTTAAAATATGTTCAGACCCTGCTTAAAAACCCAGACCATTGCAGAATCTTAAGAACTCAAGGCTGTTTGAATGTTGCAGATACAAATCTGAAGAAATTCAGGTAAGTTAGGCAAAAAATAAAGAAATCACAACAAAAGTTTGGGTCACTTATTTAACATACAAAGTCTTTTTTCACAGGGAATTATTTGTTTTCCTTAATTTGTCTTAGTACACATAATTCACAAAACAGTAAATTGTTAATGCAAGAGAATTAGGAAAAACCAAAAAAGTACAAATGCTCAATCCCCAAAATTGCACACAGTTAAAATTTTTCTTTTGTCTTAATGCAATTTCAAATGGGCTTTCTTCAGATGTGGAGGAAACACTGCAGCCCAAAATAACAGTACTTCCTCTCAACTGTATTGATATGTAAAATAGCACCTTTGGGCTGACGTAACAGGGAAGAAAATTAGTTTCCATCTTTGTTAATTAAAGTGTAAGTCCTACACAATTATATGACAACTACAGTAATGACAATGTTAAGTTTGGAGAGCTCTACTTTGTTCCAAAATACTAACTGGCATGAAAGGAAAGGAGAACTGTGTCAGGCAAATGAAACACTCTTCCCACCTCACCTCCATGACAACGAGAATGTGTCAGTGAGGCCATTGCTCTGATGGGCTAGTTTCCACCTCACCTCTGTGACAGAATGTGTTAGTGACGCCATTGCTCCAATGGGCTGGTTTTCCAGCCAAACTATACAGATGGTTCAGGGACCTTGTGCAAAACAGATTAACTATGCAGCTATCTCTCTGGGACTAGCATCACATGAGCAGCAGCTCAGAATGAGATTTAATCCTGTGGCATTTGAAAGACTCCTTTTCTGTATGCACCTGTCTTCCTTCAGTTTCTCCATTGTTTTATATCCCAAGCTGATGGTAACATTTTTGTTTCATTTGTACTTAAGCTTGATTGCCTTTTTGGCTTCACTTAAAAAAAAAAATGAATTTCATTTCTTCACAACTTAATATTTGAGCTTATACAATAAAAGTGACAGTTCTTTAAAAAAATTAACAGCATAACTGGTAATACCACAGAGTTGTGATTATAAAAAGCCAAGGTTTTAGTAGAATTATAAATTTATTCTTCAATTTAAGTCCTTTGTTTCAATTCCATTTTATTTCTTAAATAAGCAGGTAAACATGCTTTAAAAAATTGAAGAGCATTCCAGAGAGCAGGTTTTCTTTTTGAAGGGTATTTCCAGTCCACGAAAGTATTTTCACAAAGCCACACCCAGTCATTGAAAGGTCAGAAACCATTGCCACACAGTATAAAAGAAAACAATCAACACTAGGTTTTAAATACACATAGTTATTTCAGTTGTTTGAAGCTTCAACAGCCATTATGGGGAAACTTTTTAATGATTTAAATTCAAGAGTTCAGGTATTAAAAAAGAATAGCAGAATAATGCTAACTTTTAATCCATTAGAGAGCTCTATATTTTCTCAGTTCAAGAAAGACAAAGCCTATTTAAGTTAATTTTGGGAATTTGTGTGTGGTTTTAAAACACCATGTCCTCTTTTATCATTAATACAGTAAAGATTATCTTTATTTTTCATTCTAGTGTTCAGTGAGCCCCTTAATAAACCAGGCCTTATGTTAGCCAATCGTCTTCTACTATGAAATGAGCCATATAGTTACCTGTCTTTCTGGAGTTTGGACAGAATTGAAATGGTGTTTTTGGTGTAAATAATCCTTTTCCTTACAGAGCAGACAACAGAGAGATCAACAGTTCTTTGCTGGTGATGATTTTGTTCCCTCAGGAACTTGTGGAAGTGTTAGTGTTGCCATTGCTAAACCTCAGGAGACATGGATTAGTAAACTGCTTAGGAAAGTTATCAGAAGAAATGAATCACGTTTAGTCCCTTGGGTGAAGTGCCATGGTTAAGTCACCCAAAGCTTCATTATCCGTGAATGTATGTGTCTTAAACCTTGAAGATGGAAATTAAGAAGTTAATACAAAGTCCAGTTTAAGGTTCATATATTTTAATTGTGCAGAAATTTTGGTCCAATTTAGTTGCCTCAAGTGTTTTTTTTTTTTTTTCCTGTGCCTTCATTCAACAAGTTTTAAGAAAGATGAGCTTTAAAAAACCTCTTGTTTGCTACCTGACTGAGCACTTTGACATTTTTCTCATGTATATACAGGAACACACACACCTCACATGCACACAAAGTGACGCTGTTGACCTTTGCTCTATTTCTAAGAACTGGGACTATCTGGACTCAGTGTCAGCCACTACTAGTATCATAGCATCCTTCTCAGTAAAAGGTTCTCTCTTTCCTTTTTCTATGGTAACCTGTAAGGAACAAGCACACTGACAATTACAAAGTACATCAATGATGTGAGACCCAGATTTGTGCAGTGCGAAACCCATGCTTTGGTTCTATGGCCATCATGGTTGCCTCTTCACAATAATAAATAACAACAGCTAGCAAAAATAAATCACCTTGTTTTATGTAAGACATTTCTCTTTGACAGGCCACTATATTTATAATCATTAGTGTATCTCACTGCAGTTATTATTCACGCTTCAGATTCACATGAATATGCAAAGAATACAATAATCAACTCATCTGTCAAACCTAAACAACTCAATTTATCACTTATCACAGAATCTTGAATGTTTTTGCTTCCCAGTTGAGCAAGGGAAATAATTGTCAGCTCCTTAAAATACAGTCTAAATGCTTGGTCATAACTACTCACTGCTCATCTGTCAAGTTGACACCTTATGTAGATTTTAAAAAGTACATTTGACTTAAAAAATTATTTTTTATTTCCCCTATTATAAGTGCTTCATAGTAGCAAATAAGTTAATTTTGAAACTTAGGCAGATTGCTTTATAGTTTTGTTTTTTTACTCTTTAAAAAACAGTCACTTTGTCTAACTTATTAAGATACTTCATTTGATTAGTGCTTTGTAAAATAACATTTGTGATACTTTGAAAAAAAGAATGAAGTGCTGTTTTGAAAGATTCAACTGTTAAAACAGGTTTTGTGTCTAATTTTAGGGCTGCTGTATCCAATACAGTGGATTTGAATTGAGATTCCCTGTAAGGATGAAATGCATACTGGATTTTGAAGACTTGGTTCATAAAAGGAGATGTAAAATAACTCAATAATTTTTTATCATGATGACATTGAAATGATAATGGGTATATAATGCTAAATAAAACATTGTTGAAATTCACCTATTTTTACTTTTTCTAATGGTGCTACTAGAAAATTTTAAATTTGCGTATGTAAGCCAGCCTTTGTGGCTCACATTACATTTCTGTTGGACACTGCTCTTTCAGAGGGTCCAAGTGGAGTATACAAGGCTTCTGGGTATTTAACAGAGCTAATTAAATCCCAAAATCTTTCAAAATCTACTCTTCATGATTTAAACATAATTCCAAGTATTAATATCTTCAAACGTGTCTTGCATTTATTTTAAAAACATGCACCGGTCAAAACAAACTGGACTCCACTATAGCCATAAAAACCTGTTAGCTGTCAAACTATGAATATTAAAATATGCATCTTCCAAGTTTGCATCTAATGTGCCTTAGGGATAATGCAGACAATTTCAAGCTTAAACCCAAATAACTTTGTCATTTCCAGATCAGAGAGTTAGCATCATGAGGCCCTAGAAGAAACACATGCTCAACTCAAGTCCTTCCTCTGGAACTTTCCCCGGTACTGTGAGGACTCACAGGTCTGTCCACTCAGGCTTTCCTCATTACCTAAAAGCATCCCTTGCTCCAGTGGTGAATTGTCTCAGAAATCATTTTCCAGCTAACTTCCACATTTCCTCTTTACACTTGAGACTGTTTCATGGGATCCTGGTCATTTGGTGTTTTCTTCTTTCCTTTTGAGCAAAGTAAGAACAGATGAGTCAGAAAGCGGAGAGAAGATAGAGGGCGACTATTCAGGATCGCTCCTGTCGTCTGTAGTGACAGGCTGGACTCTGCTCTGGGTGACAGACCCCCGCTGGCCCCGTCACACGGGTATGAGCTCGGTGGGCCCGGCCTCCGCGGGTGGCCGTGCAGTGGTCCCCGTCGGCAACGCGGGCGCCGCCCCAGCGTCCTTGGTGTCCATGCTCACGGTGCAAGAGCGGTTCTACTCCGCCCTCTTGGCTGTGTCCGGGCAGTTCTGCACAAAGATCACGCGGTCGTAGGCCTTCAGCCTGCGCCATAGCTGCACATAGACCTTGCACTGGGCGTACATGAAGACCAGACCTCCAGTGAAGCCGATGGCCACCACAGCCAGCTTTGTCCAAAATGGCCATTCGAGGACACCTTTCAAAGAAAAGAGAACGTTATCACCGAGTCTTTATTGATAGATTAGGTGATTTTCCCCCTAGGGTTCCTTCAAAGGACCATGCATGCTGTTGTTTAGTTGCTAAGTTGTGTCTGACTCTTTTTGTGACCTCATGGACTATAGCCAACCAGGCTCTTCTATCCATGGGATTTCCCAGGCAATACTAGAGTTGGCTGCCATTTCCTTCTCCAGGGGATCTTCCCAACCCAGGGATCGAACCCGTGTCTCCTACATTGCTGGTGGATTCCTTACCACTGAGCCTCTGGGAAGCCCTTAAAGGATTATGCCCACTTGTTAACATAACTCAGGAATAGATTGTTAACAACTAGTAATAATTACAACCAAAATTGCTTAATTGCTTTAAGTATTCTCAAAGTATTGCTAAAATTGTACATGACTTCTCTCACCTACCACTGTACTGTCTCTTATTCCTCTTACCATCAAGAACCACTGTGATCATCAGATACTACACTATATTTTGATACTTGACTTCAGCATTTATTGTTTACAGTGAAATCTTTAAGGAAGGATAGTGTACATACTGAGTGAAAGAATCAGACTTAATCCTCTTAAGGTAACAGAAGCTATGTGTGTGGGGTTGTACCTACAGGTCCCCACCCCCACCTGCATTACCTTTAAATTAAAAAAAAAAAAGGTGAGAGACACAGAAGCTGCTACATCTCACCAGAGAGAAAAAAATTCCTGGGTACAGACATGCATAAGATTTAGGGTTTCAATCACTTGTTTTATCCATCTTAGATTTTGTAACTGAGAACCATCTCTTTTTTACACATCAATGTTTTCTCTTAATTTCCATCATTATAACTAGAAAGGGACTTTATTTCACGAAGAGTTTGCTATAACAGTATTTAGGCCATGCATGATTATAAGTGTGTAATAAATGATGGCCAAGAGACCACATCTTGCCAACGTTAGAATGCTGTGGAGGATATACCTGCCTTCAGTCATGTGAGAGGCTGTCAAACAGAAGGGTGGTTGGAAACCACAGTATAGGGGAGTTGAATTTCATTTACTGACAACAGTGAGTAGAGTTACACATCTGCTGATAACACTGACATTTACTTGACTCTGACAGCAAAACAGACACTGCTTTGCTTGCCTCGCACGGAGGGTTCGCCTTGCTCTTCACTCGTGTCTGTGCAAGGAGAACAGACTTGAGTCAGTGAACTTGGGCACCAGCAGCTCCCCACTGGGCAGGGGAGGGTGTAACCGTGTTCCCTGGGCCACCGGGCAGTGTCGAGATGATTGTTCCACCTGGTAACACTTGGGCAGGTGCTACTGACTTAGCAAGCCGAGGTCTGGAATGCTGCTCTGTCAACATCCCGCAGTGTGTAGGACAGCAAGTAGTTTACCTAGTCCAGAATGCCAGTGCTGCTGAGGTTGAGAAGCCCTGTTGCAGAAGACGACCACTTAAGCTTCTTTATTTAGAAATTTGCAGGGAAGATTCAGTATACAAATTAAACATCTTGGAGTTCTTTAGATTTAGAAGGATTTTTGCTCTCAGCTGTTCCATTGAGCAGTAATCTCCTTGTTTCGAAAAATTTTAACCACAGGCAAGCAGGAGATGAAGTGTGCTTTGTCTCATTTTCTGGGAAATCCCCATGCATGACATCTCACTTTCCCTCTGATTTCTATTCACACCGAAAGTTAGAAGTGCCTGGATAATTTCTCTTCTGAGCCTCTGCCCATGATATTTCCTCTCTCAGGATTTTGCTTCTCCATTTCCGTGTGTCTACCTGTCCCACAAACCTGAGTGGGAAATCATTTCCACCCGGAAATAGATGTACTCACCCTTTCACGTTATTTCTTACACATGTGGCCTGAGTCACTATGACACGAGTTATTCTCTGCGATGCCATCATCCTGGCAAGTGCAAGATCTGCATCTTCTTGGTCTGTGTTTTTCACACTGCCTTGCTCAGTAGACATTTCAAGGATGAATGAACATTCTAATGATCAAAGTTCTGACTTTGACTGCTGTGCCTCCATCTTTTCAATATAACCAGATGTGACAGCCTTTCTTCCCTTGCAAGTGAAGCTCCGCTATTGATGGACAGGCTGAAGAAGACTCCTTTCTTGCCGCACCTCTCCTCCCAGACCCAGTGGCCAGAGTCCATGACATGCCTAAGAGTCGGGGTCAGGAGTAGTCAGCTGCCAGACCTTGGAGACCCTGACCCGGGTACTTTTCTTTCACAAGGTATCTCTGAATTCATTTTCTCTGCTCAGGTCATTCTTCCTTTTTACTTTCCTGGGGAGTCAAAGCTCCCATGATTTCTCTAGACAAAGTTTAGAGCACAGAGTATCCCCCAGCCCAGAGCCAAAGCCATCTGAATGCAAATTCATTGTTCAGATGACCATCTTCTTTCAGAGACAGCTGGTTTTTCTCTTTCCCTTTGACTGACTGGGCAGGATTTTTATTTCCTTTAGAAATTATTAATATTATTGAGCAGTTACAGGATTTTACTTTGGAAAACTCGTGATAAGGATATCTTAAAAGAAGATACCAAAATGTGGCTAAAGGGATTGTCAATGTTGTTTTCATTGGTGAGATGCATTTGCTTCTTTTTATTGAGAGATAGCATGTTGTCTTCCCATTCAGTTCTATGCTGTTTTCCGTGAAGAGGAAAGAATGTACACAGTAAGGAAGGGTGGAGGTGAAGAAGGGAAGCTCAGAGTGGACCCCTTGTGTAACCCAAAGAATTCTTTGAAGCTGGAGCATGTACTCAAAATTGCCAAGAGCACAAAGTTGACCCTACTTGCCAGTTCAGAAGAGGAATTTGGAAAATCCAACTTCAGACAATTCAACCATCTCTTCTTTTCTCTGAAGTCCAAGGATTTATTATTTATCTCCACTTCTGCCTTTGTGCTTGAGATCTTTCTTCAGGAGTTTCTGAAGACTTAGAAATCAACTCTCTGCCCATCTTGACCTCTTAAGTATTGATAAGAGATGATGCCTGGAAATTCTTGAGCAAAGATTGGAGGAGCAGATATTCTGTGAACCATCATTTTCTAAGGAAATGGGAATCTTCTCTTGCCCTTCAGATACCTTCAATCAGTTCATTCACTTTTCATATCATCATGTCAATCCTACAAGAATGGGCAATAAATTTTCAAGTCATATCAATAAACAGTTGTCAAAATAACTTCTTCCACCATTTTGATGATTGCGTATATGTGATACAATACCTGAAGGCTGCAACAACATCCACACCATCCCAAAACAATAGACATGCCAATAGGTTTTCCAGGAAAGGCTTTAGATTTGTCCTGTGATATGGCATTGAAGACTTCGCCAATTAGACTTAGATGAATCAAAATGCTGCATTCCATCTACCTGAAAGTGCAGTGCTCCAAAATCACCGTTGATGTAATTGCAGCCATGAAATTAAAACACACTTACTCCTTGGAAGGAAAGTTATGACCAACCTAGAGCACATATTAAAAAGCAGAGACATTACTTTGCCAACAAAGGTCCATGTAGTCAAGGCTATGGTTTTTCCAGTGGTCATGTATGGATGTGAGAGTTGGACTGTGAAGAAAGCTGAACACCAAAAAATTGATGCTTTTGAACTGTGGTGTTGGAGAAGACTCTTGAGAGTCCCTTGGACTGCAAGGAGATCCAACCAGTCCATCCTAAAGGAGATCAATCCTGGGTGTTCATTGGAAGGACTGATGCTGAAGCTGAAACTCCAATACTTTGGCCACCTGATGAGAAGAACTGACTCATTTGAAAAGACCTTGATGCTGGGAAAGACTGAGGGCAGGAGGAGAAGGGGACAACAGAGGATGAGATGGTTGTATGGCATCACTGACTCTATGGACATGAGTTTGAGCAAACTCCAGAAGTTGGTGATGGACAGGGAGGCTTGGCATGCTGCAGCCCATGGTGTTGCAAAGAGTCAGACATGACTGAATGACTGAACTAACTGAACTCAAGAAAAATGAAAATTAAAGATGAATATAAATATATTTATTTCCCATAAAAAATTCTCAATCATAAGATAATGCTTTGGGGAAAACTATTTGTAAATGTGTATGTGTGCACAGATGTACATTTGTTTCTGCAGATTCTGATTTGATGCTTTTAGGTCTCCATATGGATCACTGTAACATTGATTCCATCATCTTCACCATAGTTTACATATCAAATATCAAAAATCATGGCATATAAAGAAGCTCCATTCTGTGTGTCCCTTCCCGAGGCAGAGGGTAGAGGCACTGTCCAGTTAAAAACTTCAACAGAAAATATGGTGTAAGTTAAGTATTTCTTTTCATATCTGGAATACTAACACCAGGTGATGTTCTAACCAACCCAATGAGGCTATTTTCAAGGGATAAGGTTCACAAAGAGAAACTGAACTAAATTAGTATACAGTTGGGACTTTTAATAAGGAAGTACAGAAGAGAAATGGTCCAACTGACAATGATCAATCAGGGACTGCTTACTTAAGTCTTTTGGGAGATATAGCAAATCCCTGCTGTGTTTTCCCAGATGTCCAAATGATGAATACCTTATTGATTAGTCCAGGTTATGGGAAGCATGGAGAACAAAAGAAAAGAGAAAAATCACTTCGCTATGTGTCTACAGTTATAGCAAAAAAAAAAAAAAAAAAAAATCCACCTCTTGATATGATGGTCTCACAATAAATAACAAATCTATGGTGGTCTGCTTTCTCTGAATGGCCTTTCCCATCCCAACAGAAAATTCCTGATCCCCACACCCCCACCCAACAACTACCAGTCCTTTCAAACTTTGTCGTTGTTTGGTCAGTAAATCACGTCCAACTCTTTTGCGACA